ATATTACCCGGTGGACGCATCACGGATGAAGTGTCGACACGCGTGCAGAAGGCTCGATCGGCATTTGCCAACTTGAGATATCTGTGGTGCCGTGGAGGCATCTGGTTGTTTGTAAAGGGTTAAGTGTATGCTCCAGCAATTCGACCAGTTCTGCTTTACGGCGCAGCTACTTGGTCATTAAGATAACAGGATAAAGATAGACTGTCGGTGTTCGAACATCACTGTCTACGCAGCATTGCACGAATCTGGTTAGGCAAACGGAGGTGAGGTGAAGAGTTTTACGTAACCGCGGTCGCCCACTAGAATAAGTTTTCAACCTCCATAGCTTATGATGCTTGAGGCATGTTACGCATGTTTGTAAATAGGTTGCCACGACGCGTGATATTTTCCGAAGCAGGTAGTTGGGGGGGATTCAAGGATGGTAAGAGATCTGGCACCGGGAAACACGGTCATATAGGTCGCGTTAGACTCCCTTGACGGGGACCTCAGGATCACTGTAACTAATAGTTAGAATTCACTGAGTGATATGGCTGTGTTGTCAACACTGGCATTCGTGCATCTGGATTTTTATGGAAGCATAGTCTTCTGAAACTCTCCATTTTCTCTTCGACTCTATTTCAACTATCCTGTCTTTCACCTACTGCTTCATCCTACTGGCCAGACAGAAGACAGCAACCAAGACCGGTGCACGAAAGTGCATGGTTAGTGGTTGTACCAACTGAAGCTGCGATTGGTCTGTTTGTCAATGGCATTCAACTGTAAAACTGGACAACCACATCATAGCAGAAGGCAAGGTGGGACTGTCAGAGTCGAAACGGGAAACGCGGGTGTATGTTCACCTCCTGTGAGCGAATAAGTAAGAACTCGGGAGCACATTTTAGCACCGAAAAAGCACTGAAATACAGTACGGCGAAAGACCACGGCCAAGCGTCTCAAATAACCTCTACTGGGAAAGCCCTATTCACTGATATGTTCTGGCGGAGGAGTCTTCCCACAAAAGTAGAGGCTATAACCGGGTCGATGAACCACTGGCAGTTTACCTGAACCCAAACCGGTTAAAAAGAGGCGTACTAACCAAGCACACACCTTCTTGGTTTTTGTAGTGGTCACCGGATGAATTGGGTGTTGTGGTTTATTGGGCACCTTGGACGTTTGACCCTGTCCGAAGGGCGCATGATCAGATGAACTGGGTACCGGCCCCCAATTGAAGGCCGTTTTTTACACTGTCCTGCGGCATTGTGGGTCAGGCTTTGGCTAGCCCGGGGTTCCGGTTGTAAATTTCCCTGCTTCGGCCTGGACAACCTAGCAGCATCATGCATTGAAGCAATTCATAGAACTTTTTTAAAAGGATTATAACGTGATTTATTTGACATACCATCTGAACTCAGGCGCGTGAGAATTTAATATAATATAAGACTACGAAAAATAGTTTTGGGTGTATCGTATTTCTTTTGTGTGTTGGTCAGATAGCACATCCAAGCAATGTTGAGGAAACACTGAACGGCTTGCTTTGAATAGCTAAATATGGGAGGCATTGGAAAGATGTTAGATTACGGTCTACGAAATCGGGTACAGGTTTTCTGTGAAAAACACATTAATCATAATGAAACGGATATGGTAAAAGATGACTGGAAATGTAACCAAAGCAGATTGGAGAGAAATATTCCATGCCACTCACAGATACAACTCCTGTGTTTTCTGAAGAACAGCACCTGTTGTACTGCATAACTGAACAACTTGTGCAGGCGAGATTTCAAACTGAGCGTAGCTCGGTGCATCGCGAACACAGCCTAACAGCTCGGACGCATGGAAGAGTAGTCGTTGAAGTAGTCTGTGACAAAGGTATGGAAAAATGAGGCGAGACGATGAGGAATATTCATTCGAACCAGTAAAAGACAAATACTACGAAGAACTCAAACAACCGTAGCCGAGCAACGAGGCCACCTAACACGAGAGTGAAGTAGTGAACACAAAGTTCTGCAAATCAACATAGCTCTCCGAACAAATCCGTCATGGTCATGTCTTTTATTATTTTCAACCGACTGATTGTAGGACCGCTCGGGTTCAAGCCCGGAAGATAAGAGCCGCCTCTAGTGACCGTCTCCTCCGTGAAGACCTCATCAGGTTTGTTTATGACTCTTCTGGAACTCCAATTCACCTGAAGCGATAACGGCCAGCACGGGTAGTAGGTGACGGCTAAACAGACAACGGACTCAGTTCCAATTGGACTTCATGCTCCGATTCATAGTTGTAAGTCAAATGTATCACACATTCTGATTCCATTAACTGACTAGGATCATCTCTTAACCACTATTCTCTTCTGAAAAGACTACAGGATGATAGGGACAACGCACGATCTAACTTACGTGATAGGGAAAGGCGAATTGTTCCCTCCAGAATTGACTACTTTCATTTCCCCTTTAATTCTATTTATTTTTATAAAACTTGAATTATCAATTTTTTTGCTCCAGAGAAGCCTTATTCCATACCACCGGCTGTGCTTGCCTATGATTGGTCCATTTCCCCAGAACTATGGACTATTGAGTTAGGTAACAAGGTCACTCTGATGACCGTCCCTAAAATGTATATAAACAGATGAGGCGTCGACTACCGTCATCTTTTGGATCGAGCGAAATACACAACCCCGCTCAAAGGTCTACATTCCACCTTCTTCCTGGTTGAGTTTTCGACATCATACTACTCTCGCAGGGCCTTTTTCACTTCTCCTGGGAAGTGAACAGGGAACCGCTATCCGGGCGTATTCCTGTGGTTCTCACTGGGTCACTGGGTCGTTCCGGTTTCTACTCGCGGGTCCGTCCTATCACGTCCCTTGGCCTCACGATCGAAGGCTTTCCTTATCGTACCTTTATCCGTGGGTGACAACATCATGCCAGGTAAATATACAGCTAGTGTGACTCATCCTGTAGTGTGAACCGATGCCCACGATAATGCGAAAACAGTGACATTAAAAGAGCGACACAGGTCAAATTTCTGTAGCGTACAACTATGCTTGAACCACCGTAGACGGACTGACAGGCATCGTAACGATGCTACAGTTATCGAATGCCATGAAGGAAATTTGGGAAAGGAAGGAACTTTCCAAATAATGATCAAGTGTGAGTGTGTGTGTGTGTGTGCAAATGACAGACGAACTGATGGTGCCTCTGGAGCAGATAATAGATCAAAACTCACAACTGCAATTGTTGAAAACATATGGTTTTTATTGACTCATAGGCTTTCAAAGTGGCCATTCCAGTTCGTTTGAGGTTCGCGGCTGTCCAGTCTTCCACGAGGAACTTGCGCAATGCAAACCTGTGAAGATTTGAGTGCACAACAGTGGTGTACGTGTGCCAAAACGGAGTCTTACGGGCAGTTGCCGAAAAGAATAAATTCCAATAATTCCACACTGAGGGACCAATTCTGCAGTGGAAGAAAATTGAATAGTATCACGAAAAATAGACCTGTCTTAATCGAAAAACGGGTATGGGACTATAAAGATATAAATCGAAAACCTGTTCGGTAACTCTGATATCACGAACTAGGAGAATACAGTTTCAGCCCAATGCGATTAACTGTCTTTTGTGGTATGGATAGGCTGTGAATCAGCCTCGGTTATACAACAATTTTGGAATTCATTTTAAGACATTTTACTAGGTGTATGCGAACACGTCTCAAAAACAAACTAAACTGAGAAACAAACTGACGCAGGAACGAACAGACATTTAGACAGGCTCAAACTGTTTGATTCCATCAAATTCTGGCTGAGCTCGTACCGTGATCGTATTCGACAGCCATAAACTACAGTGCTCAATTGATAACAGTCCTTTTGCACATCCCACTCTCAGGTATCAAACCTTAAAACGACAGAGTGGCATTGATTCCATTATTCAAACTCAAACTCCACCGAAGAATGGATAACCAGATGCCACTTATATAAGATCGGTAATCCAGCTTGACAAAAGTTGTTCAAAGGGAAATATTTTTATTGCACATAATGTGAGTTATAGTGAAAAGGGAAATCCCCATGGACCAATAGCATACTGTAAAATAGAGAGTGCGGGAACATTCAAGTAAGACCCAGTTTATTGATTCGGCGTCTAAAGAGTGTAAGATTGTTATTTGCGGAAAGACAAAACGTCGGAGAGTGTTCTGGAATCTGATGAGGATGACAAGATGGGGCGCGTGTAAGTTACAAAAAGAGTAACTGCCGAGGCAAGCTCCGAAGAACGAAAACCAAAGTAGTAACGGGAGAGCAGGGAGAACGAAGCAACAGCACGACGATGGGTTAGTGACTGCAGACTGAATGTTAAGGAAGGATCATCGAGCAGCCGGAAGGCCTTTCGTTGAACACGATTGAGAAATGAAGATAGGAAGACGAAGTCCTACCCCACACTTGACTGCGTGTTCAAGAGCTGGGCGCATTTGAACTTTGTACATTAAAAGATGAGCTGGGAGTGAAAAAGTCTGAAGTGAAATAAAATCCAACCTTGCGCGAAGCACGAGAGGCAAGCTGAGCCATAAAAGGAGGCCATCATAAAGTAGAAATTATAGGCAATACAAGAAAAGAAACAGA